GAGTGGGTTGATGCTAATAAAGATAGATTGGAAGAGGAATCTTACAAGGTTGTACTTCGAATTTTGTTACCTTATCTTCCACTCTTGATGTTTAATTTTGTATTCATTTTGCTTATGTGTACAGATTTTATTATTTTTCTGCAGTTTGTATGGCAAGTTATTATCATCTTTGCTTCTTCATATTGCCAAAATGTTCAATTTCGTAACTTAAGTGTCAGGGTTAGTCATGTGCTAGATAAGTTGCTGAATTTTTTATTCAGAGGTAGTAACTTTAGTTCTTGAGGATCTTCAGACTTTTCCTTACATTTGCTTATCAGCTTTTAGTGATGAAAGTTTTGGATATTGGGGCGGTGAAAGTTCTAGTTATACTTAAATGAACTGTGAGAAGGGAATAACAAAAATTGTTTTTGCTCTTTTGCGGGAACAGAAACTCATTCTTTATTTGAACTAACTGGTAAATAGCAGTTGGTGATGCTTCGATAGAAGGATAGCATTTTTGTTGTTTAAAGCTTACATCTTGCTTGTCGGTATTTCCTCTTTTGTCAGTATCAATTAGAGTACCAATTTTTGCCTTGTTAGTATTGCATCTTCCATTTTTCTTTTTCTTTTTTTTTCCCTTTTTTTTGTGTTTAAATAGCAATTGTTGATCCTTTTCTTCAGTCTGGGATTTGAATAATGTACCAATCAGAGTTCTTTGTTGCCAACTTCTAGCTGGTCTTTTCCTGTTTGAGTTTTTGGTTGAAAAAGATAGGTTTGTTTTTGGAATACATCACATCAAGAAACATCTTTCCTAAGGGTAAAAAAGATGTCTGTTGATGTCAATTCACTTTTGCAAATAAGATACTTTGAGTGGCTGCATATGTGTGAGTGCAATGTGAATTTCAATATCGTGCTTATTTTATTGTCTGTTGGAGTTTATAGTTTGATGAAATGGCACAACTTATTTACTTGATCGAAGTCTGTATCAAAGCATGTAAACTTTACCATCTTTCCTCCTGTAGTTTTTGTTAGAAAGGAAGGGAAATACTTGTAATAAGGTTCATTGGCTGTTCATACGTAAAATTTTATCTGATTTCATGTGGCATTTATGCAGTATGACCAAGATTACTATCCTGGCCGACGAAAAAGGGGAAAGGATTATAAGGAGGAAATGGTAAGATAGTGAAAATTTATACCTTTGTAGTTTTGAATTTTGCTGACATTTTTGGTTTACAGAATGTAATTGCCTTTTCCTTTTTCTTTGCAGTATGAGCTTCCATTTTATTATCCTGGACAAGTAAGTTCTTTTACTCAAAACTTTGTCTTTGTATTTCTGGTCAAGAAGCCAGTGTCTTTGGTACTCGGAGCTATATGTCTTATCCTCTTTCGGCTTCATACTCAAATACTGTATATCAGCAGCCATCAGAATATCTGATCAAAATTTTCTTGGCTTCCTCCTGAAAATCCACTAATTCAGCACCATAACGCTCTTTATTTATTTGTTTGTTTTTCAATATGTTATCATGCTGAGTGAGCTACATTTAGAGTTAGCAATCAAATGTTATCGAAAAGTATCTTATTTCATTTTTTGGCTGAGAACAACGTCGCGTAACAGCCTTACTTTACATCCATAGTTCCCTTTTCTGGTTTTTCCCCTTGAACTAGGTGTCTAAAATTACAGTAATAGAGGTCGGGACAACACCAAAGAACTGTAGCCCTGCTACCTGTGTTGATTTCTTGCTGGAGTAGAGCATCCTGAGCATCCAGTGGGTCTTTGTTCATTTCATGTATTTCTTAGAAAGCATGTCTGTCAGAAATTGCTTAGTTCCCTTGAAATCGCTTATATCGAAGATTTATGCTAGCAGTAAGGTTAAACTCGTCGCCATGATTTTGCCACCCCACGTGAATAAGTGAAGATGTGAAAGCTGAGAAAGCTATTATTCATGGTTATGTTTTCAGAAATGACAAATTTGAAGCGTCAAAGATTATTTTTCAAAATACAATTTTTTAGTTTGCAAACAGAAATGAGGGAGAAAGCTCCCTGGATTTGTTTGCAACTTTTCATGTACATTAAATTGAGATTCAAAGGGTTTTTCATTGACGGGATCAACTGGTTAAAGGACTCGTAGTTGATTTAGAGGTCAATTATGCCTATGGCATCAAGCTGTTTTTTTTCCTTCACGTGTTTTTGTTATTGTTTGTCTCCAATTTGATAAATGGCACATCCGGACAACTTTCTGATGCTCTTATTAATAAATGGGTTGAATAACAAAAGAAGATTTCGTTTTTATTAAATATTCCTTATTTCACGTGTTACTGATCTTGCTTTTTGGGGTGTAGAAGGAGGTAATAAATAGATTGAGATAAGAAACCAGTCATTGTATTCATAAAAGCTTTTGGCTTTTGCCCCTTAAAGCTAGTTTAGGAAGGAAACTACCCTACATTAGCACAAGAAGCTTTTGCCCCTAAATGCCACCGTGATGCTTTGTCAATAAACATTCTCATTTCAGTTTAAGTAAATCAGTCCTGTTTTTTTCCGTGCTTCCTTTCCAAGTCCTTTTTAAGTGTTCCCCTGTCTCATTACTTGAGTTGTGTTATCTATTAATCTTACTGGTGCTTCCTCCCTATGCCCGTGTCCAAACATTTTTAAACGTTTTCATCTCATTTTCTCATCATTGGTACCTCCACGTCCTTTCTCATGACTAATCGCGTATAATCTAATCTGTCCACATCAATGTTGAAGGTCGTATTGCTGTTTTGTAAAATTTTTATTCAGTTTCAACATTACTTTATGGTGAAAAAGAATAGAGGGACAAACTTGCTTGATTTAAATGTTTTAAGACCTTCCCCAACAATGGTTTTCTATTGCGTAAATCATAGAATTTCTTTTTGTATAAGTTTATTTTAATGTTTAAATTTTGGAATTAAAAAATAACGTTTCCGCTGGCGAATGGTTACTCTTTTATTTCAATTTCAGAATTGTCTATGACTTCTCAGAATATATGAATTGATTTTTGGCTCATTCCACCATCCCAACCAGTGAATTATTAAGATTTATTTTTACTAAAATAAAATCTGTTGAATTCACGTCTTACATTGTTCCCATCACTTCTTACTTAATGTTTATTTAGGTTCTAATTTTACAATGGAGCTCATAATTGTTCTCAATTCAACTTTCTCAGTCTTTATTGACCTGATGCTTATCTTATATAAAAATTAGAGCATTTGGTTCATGCTGGCCTATCATTCTATGCTAGATTAGTAGATTGCATTCCCATTATAGACAATATATCTTTTCTATTTGCTTTCCCATATTAGAGTTAATATATCATGTATAAAGATCTTATCCTGGATTGAAATTAGGGTAAGTGCATGATTTTCTTCTTAGCTGGGTGAAGTTACTAACCTATTGAAAATGTTTTGCTAGATTTGTGCTGGTAAAGTGACTGGTGTGCACCTTTATCAAGGAGCATTTGTCGACATAGGAGGTGTCCATGATGGGTGAGTATTCTAAGGGAATTCACCGGTTTCTTTATTTCTTTAAAACATTCAACGGTCCCAATTCTTTTATGACAAACTAAGCTTTATCAAAATCCCTTTGAAACAATACTGCAAGCTTAAATTTTCTGATAATAATGACAAATCATTCTGGTGGCTGAAGACTGAAAAGTTTCGTTCAGTAGTGCCAAATTATGGACATGCATTCACAGATATTCTGTGCAGGGTTACAAAGTGCTATGAATTCGTAAAATGTGAAGCAACCGTTATCATACAACTAAAGAGTTATTACATTCTGTTATGTTTACATAATATATGCTACCTTCCCAATGTGATATCATCATCGGCTCTGCACAGAGTTCTCTCCCCTTATCCTCATCTTGCTTGGAGGGAGAAAAGTTGGAGTGAGCTTTTTGCTTGGAACACTCCATAGCAGTTCCTGATGAATGCCTCATCATTACTGTGTCAACTGCATTGCCGGTTACTTGATATGATTTTTATATGCTGTAACTGTTAACTTAGCTTGAATCAGAATGAAAATGTTAAATTGACAACCTGATGTTCCACTTTAGACATCTTTGAAGTATTAGTTTGGAGTAATGACATTCAAGTGTATCGGATCCATGATTGCAGTACCTGATGGCTTCAGCTTTTCTTATGCAATTCAGGTGGGTTCCTATAAAGCGTAATGACTGGTATTGGATTCGCCATCACATAAAAGTGGGAATGGAAGTCATTGTTGAAATTTTGGTGAGTACCACTCGTTGCTTATCTTTATGAAAGAGTGAACTCTTCCCGAGCTGTTGTATTCTGGTTATTTCATCAGTTTATAAAGCATCTTCACCTGTTATTGTTTTCCATCTTTTTATGGGTATTAGATGTTTATCCATTCCTCTGTTTCAATCTTTAGGCATAAGTTATAAGTGTGCTGCTTTTTGTTGTTTTGATGATTAGGGGATTGGGTCAGTACAGAGTACTGAGGAGTTAATTTGGGTTTCAAAAGAAAGTTTGCCTGACTTGCTTTACCTCATAGCCTAAGATTGGATTATTCATTTCATGATTTAATAACTTTGTGTTTTATTATTCAGTCGGACATGACTTACTTTGTAGGATGCTTCAAGTTTAACTATTTAATCAAAGACCCAATTAATTGTCCGACTGGTACAAACTATTTGTGTTGCCATTTTGTGATCCCAGGGTATGGTTTTTATTGGAATTATTTCATGTCAAATAATATGCTTGGTCTAGTCGATTAGTTTTGAGTATGGGGGCTCTTGACACATGGGTTCTTAAATCTTGAATACACCCATGAACCCTGCCTGGCTCTCTGCTTGGTGTCTTCGTTTGTGCCTTTTCTTTTCTTCAAAATCCAGTTTTCTGTTTTATCTTGGACTAAAAAATAATCTTTGGAACTTGTTACTTCCAATTCATTTGACTTAGGAATAATCCTGAAGGACAATATTGTCTCTGCATTGCAGATGCTATCCTTATAATGGTTTATCCAGATTAAAATATTAACGATAATGACCTATCCTGGGAATTTTTTTGCTGATGTGCAGGCAAAGAGGGATCCTTACAGGTTCCGGTTTCCTATTGAGATGCGGTTTGTGGAACCAAACATAGATCATCTGATGTACGTAGGTTTGTTTAAATGCCATCCACATTACCCCACCTCCACTTTCTTCTTCATTTTGCACAATTGTCAAACTTGTGAGCTAAGTAGGGAAATTGAGCTTTTGTATTTTATTTAATCTTTCAAATTCATGGAAGTTTGTCAATTTTCCTTTCTAGGCCTAGTTTGACTACTGAATAACTTACACACTTCTTGTGATCTTCAGCTTCAACACGTTTGATTTTCCTCCAATCTTTCACCGTGATGATGATACTAATCCTGATGAAATCCGCGTGAGTATCATATTCATGCTATATCGATCTTTGTACTGATTAATGTTTCTTTTGACTATCAATCTCTTGGCTAATGAAGGTTTCTACTGACTTTTGCGAAATCACTTGTTAAAGACTTTAGAATGTTATCCTTTTGCATGAACTTGCTATCTGTTGTTTTCACCCATTGAGCACCTACAGATGGATTTACACTGATTATTTTAACTCGTGACTTTATCCTTTTTGTAGCGTGATTGTCAAAGAGCTCCAATTCCCAGAAAAGGTCCTGCCATTGATGTAGAGGAGGAACCTTTACTATCAAATCATCCTTATGTAAATCGAGTAAGCTTCATCTAAAAACCAGAACAAACTGTTCAGATCAGCATATTTCTTAGTATTTGAACGAGCATGTATTTTGCGGATGAGAGCTTCTCCTTTCCAAGTTATTAGTACATCTCTGAAGTTTTTACACCTTCACACCTTTCATTAACTTCTTTTGTAACCCTAAGTGCCTTTGAATGCAGTTGTGGCAGATACATAATGCTGAACAGATGATTTTGGATGATCTCGAAGCTAATCCTGACAAATACCAGGGAAAAAAATTGTCAGAATTAACTGATGATGAAGATTTTGATGAGGAAAACAGCATCCAGTATGCACAAGGTACATTCAAGAAGACCAAACTTCCAATGACGATTCTGGTGAGCATTTTCTATTTACTTTAATTGGTTGTTCCGGTAAAGCGTGCATTGACCTGATATGCAATTTTGTAGAAAACCAGTGTGAAGGATCTTGACTTAGAAGCTGCACTTGCAGAGCGTCAGGTTTGTTTTGATCTATGTGATTTTGCTGTCACCATATTCGCTACTTGTGCATATGTTTTCATATTTATCACTAAGCTTGACTCCTTGCAATTGTTTTGTCATGTCCGGCAACTATCCATATATTCTTTGATATTACACAAGCACTAATAGAGTTTTTGACTGGCCTCTTGATGTGCTGCTAAATAAGCGTGTATTGCTCTATATGCAGTAATTTTGGCATCCTTGTTTCTTTGTGGGATAGCACCCATTGAGTTTCGAACTGAACCCTTAACACTCCCGTCCCTCCCCCCGGCGTGTTATGTTCTTAGGGATCCTTGTAGGTTGGATATACCTGTATCATGAAGTGAATACAATATACATGAAGTGAAGTCTGCACATCTCAAGTCAAATCCTGCATAATGATCAACAGAATTGAACTTTTGGTCATTTTTACCTTGATTTAAACTTTAGGCCATTTTTATCAGCCTCATGCACTACACGTGTTCTGTTTAAGATTTTACCAGTCAATCATGGCCGTTTGAAATGTTAGGATGTCCTCTAACAGACTCAAACCATCCATGCCATTCCTCAAGAAAATCGTACTCAAATTGACTTCTTGAATGCAACGGAAGATGATAAAGTCTAGAATTAAGTCATTATCTAATTGAAGAGAAAGCCTGGGACTTGAGTCCGCTATTCTTATTATGAGCAATGCCAACATAAATGATGTAGCAGTACTTATGACGTTCCAAACAACATTCTCATCATTTTCAACTACTTTGTGTGTGTGTGTGTGTGTGTTTGCGCGCATTGCTTCAGTATTTCTTATCATCTTGCTGTCGATGATAGAGCAATGATTTTCATTACTTTCATTTGGTGCAGCACTATGAAAAACTGAGAAAGGAAGCATTTGAAAGGGGAGAAAAGTACAAAATATACAAGTTGAAGAGAAATGTTGAAATGGATGAGTATGACCTCATCCATTGGCGCCGATCCTATGAGGAAAGAGAGGCCCTGATGAGGGATATTAGCTGGTATTTCTTTCTGCCCTTTTCCACTTGACTGATAATCATGCACAACAATCTTCATTGTTGCTGTGAACCGTTATATTACAGATTGTGACTAGTTTGCTAGCATACCACAGTTCAACTGAATGTTAATCCGGCTACTTTTTCATCTGTGATTTACTTTGTAATCTATCAAGTGGAACTAATTTGAAACATACGCGATTCTATCGTAATACTGCTTGTCATTCATATCCTTATGGGTTTTGTTTACCTTTGAGTTAATGCTGTTTGTTGGTATTAAAAAAATTAAAACTCATCTGAATTTTATGATGATTTTACAGCCGTCGAGCACTTGGGCTTCCATTAGTTGAGCCTGGGAGATATGCAGATCCCAGCTACTTTAAGGGTGAGTATGATCCTGAGCATCCACTTTATCGTTTTGATTACTGGGGAGAACCAAAGAACTCGGAAAAGAGTAAACAAGAACGGATGACTGAAGCCCACAACAAATCAATTATTGGCAATGGAAAAGTGTGGTACGAGATGTCATATGAAGATGCTATTAAGCTGAAGAAGATACGGGAGGCCCAAGGACTGACACAAGAAGATGAAGATGCCGATATAGATGTAGATGATAGCGAAGATGAAGATGACGATGAATACGACGACTTAGTTTACAGCATTCTAACCAGCCCAAGTTTAGATTCGTCTGAACAGCCCCATGTTAATGGTACTGAATCGTCCAGATTATCAGACGAAGGAATGTTTGAGGATGCCGCCTAGAGGCACATGAGATTTTGCAGTTTTGTACAGTGCAGAAATAGGTCCATTTGAATAAGAACCCAAAACTAGTGAGTTGTTCCACGTGATGTACTAAACAAATTTGGTATTTTTGAGAATTTGTTTGTGTTCAACTAAATATACCGATTGAGAGAGTACCTACTTAATTAGCTCTCAAGTCTAAACAATAAAGAACGATGCAGTTGACGCTTACGAAGAACTAATTCCATTTTACTAATAATTTTCAACAACCTAACAGCTTGTGACAAAACTGCTCCCGACACGGCAACATTTCTCCTTTAGCTGAGTACGATTACCCTATCAGCTAGCTACCATTGCTTTCCCAATACACTGGACCAACATAAACAAGACAAGAGACCATATATGGAAAATGATAGAAACATACAATTTTAAGGGGTAAAAGAATGTGCACTCCGCTAGACCTCACAAGCAAAGTCCATAAGGGTGGTTAAACGTGCATGATGGCAGGCCCCTTTGATTGCCCCCCAATTCCGACTTCTCATTCAACGAAGAAAGCTTTGCCTTCTGAAGAAACCATTATATACTTCGAGGTTCTCCCTCTTCAAAGCCAGAAAGTCGACTTTCTATCTGCCTGCCTCTCCAGCCCTCAAGAATGAATACGACCAGACTTTACTCAGTGCCCATGGTTCATAGCATCACAGTGCTTTCTTTAGAAGAACACATAAACCATAAACATGTGATCAATCAATCTCTCCTTCCTCTGGATCATTTGATTCTTTAGCACCGAGCGTCTCGGTTGGTTCTTCCTGGTCATTGTCTTGCCTCGTGTATAAACCGTCAATCTCTCCGTCCTCTGGATCGTTTGAAGTTCCTGTAACACTAGGGGCCTCAGGTTCTTTTTCCTCAACAATGTCTTTCTTGGTATATAAACCGTCAATCTCTCCGTCCTCCGGATCGTTTGAAGTTCCTGGAACACCATGAGCCTCAGGTTCTTCTTCCTCATCATCGTCTTTCTTTATGTATAAACCATCAATCTCTCCATCCTCTGGATCATTTGAAATTCCTGGAACATCATCAGCCTCAGGTTCTTGTTCTTCCTCCTCATCATCGTCTTTCTTTATGTACAAACCGAGTTGTTCCAATGGATTACTGCCCTGAAACTTGAAACTCCCCAGACCATCTTGAGAATGATCTGGACTAGTCTCCTCTATGAAGCTAGCCAAATTTTCATCCGGGGCAGATCTAAACATCTCCAGATCTTCCATAAACTGACAGTTCTCATTGATGTCAACTGTCTTTTCCATCTGTACAGAAATAGTGTAAGAATATTTCTTAGCAGAAAAAGACAACTAAAGTCTACAGGTAAAGGCAGGTACTTACATTTTGCAAAGCCTGACGAGCTGCTTCCCTTTCAAGTTCTCTTTTCCTTCTTGCTTCAGCAGCAGCAGCCTCTTCAGCTTTTCTTACAGCTTCTTTGGCAGCCTTAGCTTCAGCTTGTAGACGAGCTCTTTCTGGAAATTATTGAGCTAAATAGTTTCAAACATAGACCATAGGACGACCTGTACAACCCAAGATGATTGTTTGAACATTAAACCAATAAATAAGACACATACCTTGCTTTCTTATTCTTTCGCGCTCCTCACTCGCCAGCTTATCACCCTGAACATCAGCATTCCACAGTAAGAGCACAAAATAATTACCTGAACAGAATTTAACTTATAACAGTCCTCACCTTCTCCAAAGTCTTCTCTTTTGCCTTTATTATAGTGTCCGCAAAGCGACTTCTCAATATAGCTGCACGGTAAAGCTTCTCAGGAGACACTGTCCTCTCAATTGGAGCACTCTCAGCTAAAACGTTACAGCATCATAGTGAGATAATACAGCTAGTCAATAGCACACGGTATCTTCATTGATTTTCATTGCTTACCCTCTTGTTTCAAATCGGGCTCAACAGGAGACTTAACTGACTCGTTATTCTGCCTAACCACGTCATTCGGAGTATCTGAATGGAACACAAAGTGATAGGAGATCTAAGAATGTAGTCATAGGACTAAATAAGAACCACAAACTAAGGGTTTCCAACCTCCAGCATCTGGCTCAGTAGTCCTCTGATCTAAATTGACTGCAGGGTCTGAGATTCTCGGCTATTAACAGAAACACAAGCGTGAGACAATAAGAGGTCTGAGATCGATAGTTTGAGTAAAAACTCAAATTTATAAGCAAGGAAATCAGCTTAATAGCACCTAGACATACCTTGGGGGTATCTCGAGGAGCTGCATGCTTTGCCATGTCTGAACCACCACTCGAAGAACTTCCTGTATCCGAATCTGTACATATACAAAAAAGCATGTTCTTAAGTAAACAAAAAGAAGGTACCTCAGTAGCAGATGGATGGCCTGTAAAAAGAGCACACATGAAAAACTTTGAAAAGATTGTCACAAGGCTAAGGAGCATGAACAGCAACCACAACAACAAGAACAGCAAGGTGGTAATTTGGGACAATGAATGGAAAGATGATCTACGAACACACCAAATAGAAATAATAATAAATAGGAATTAGTTCAGGTATTCACTACGGGTCAAATGTACAGGTAACCTTGTTGATGAAAGTTTTTAAATCATTACATTATTATACATTTTCTGTTCCTTATTTTGCTTGCCAATGACATGAATTTTGTCAATCTTCCTCATCTAAACATACCAAATAACATACTCATCTAATAATGAAATATGTTTTTCAAACGATAAACAAGTATTGTATTCTGAAATACCCGAAAAACAGCTGCAGAAGAAAATTTTCATGGAACCATACTTTACCAAACTGACACTATTCCAGAATCTTATACCTCATAGGCTGGTCTTCCAGGTAAACAAAATCACCCCCACCCCCAACCGCCCCCACCAAAAAAAAAAAAGAAAGAAAAAAAGTCCATAAAAAAAAAAGAACGAGTGAAACAGCCTTCAGCAGGATTTGGTCAATAATAAGTAAACATTATGCTCCATCAAGCATCACCATTAAGTTCCCTGCACCTTTTGTAGGAGCATCAAGATGAATGAATCCAAAGATAGTAATAATCATCAACTTCTACAAAAAACATCAAGCATTTTAAAAGTTGGACGCGTAAATTATTCATCCTAATCAGTGGCAGTGTACTTTGTCCAGCATGTAAAGAGATACACAGACCGACACCCCAAAAAAAAAGAACAAAACCCAACAGAAAACAGTCAAGTGACACAAAAACCATTGTGTTAAAAAGAACGACCATTTTGGGCCAGAAGAATTTCATAGGTATACTAAGTGCACGAACTCTAACATGTTCACTGCACCCTTTCAAGGAGAGATTTAGTCATTTCTCAACCACTATAGAAAAAATGGGATAGATTCATGCATCTCAACTGGGAAAAAGAAAAGAAAAGAAAAAGCAAACCCCCGGGTGTTTCTGGAGGCAACTGAGAAATTCCACCCCAGTTTCTGTCATCTCGAAGAGAATGTGAATGGAAGGACCAAAAAACTATTGTTACAGACACAGCATCATAATCATTTGTTTACATGCCAAGAAACAACCACTCATCAAAATTTAAATTCCGTGCTATATATGAAATCGATCTCCATCATACAGAACAGTAAAAACACCAAAAACCATAAATCGGAGACCACTATGAGGTGAGAAATATAGAACATCTACAGAATGTCAACTGATTGAACAAAGCTTATAACGAGCTCTATATCTGGGAAAAAAATGAGGCATATATCATGTCATAAACATGCATGGAAAAAGTAATGTAATACAGACCAGATGATGAAGAACCTGAGGCGCTACTGGAGCTACTTGAACTGTCATGTTTGCTGTTCCTACGAGTAGAGTCCTTGTCAATCTCCACTGGGGGAAAGATCGGCATAGGTGGATCATTTCCACCAATATCCACCTCTTCATCAGCCAGGTCATTTCCTACTTTAAAATGGGAAGCAGTTAAAATCCACTCATAGAAACAGCTAGAACACCATGATCAACTTAAAAAAAATAACAACTCTTGGAGAGTGGAAAGAACACATTTACAGAACAACAAATCACCTTTTTCAGGTTTTATAACAGAGGTGCTCAAGCCTGGTACATCATGAAGCTGCAGAGTGGCAAATTCAGATATGTGATCACAAAAATGAGAAGAAAGTTATCAACTTGAACAGAGTGAGCAGATCACTCCCATAATAAGTACCTCAACAGGGGGTGAGTCTTTTGACTGGTTTTTCTGTTTATCCAATAAATAATCATCTATTAGCTTCCGTAAGGTGAAAAGTGTATCATCACTTAAGGCTTCCATATCAATTTCAATCTCATCCTCAGCATCCTTGTCAAACTCATCCCCACTGGCTTTGCTTGCATTTGCACTACTTTGTCTCAAGAAATCAACTATATTATCTGGTAAGTCCGGAAGTAAGGGCTCTAAATCCGCACTCAGTTTATGCTTTTCAGAAGCACTCATAATCTGCTTCACCTTAATTTCCGGCTTGACCAAGTTCTCCACTGGAGAAGTTTTCACCTTTTTAGAAGGAGGCATGTGTGCTGCATTCTCAGTTTCAGCTTTTACATTAGGCTTTGGAGGCAAAAGTTCTCCGACATTCGAAGTAATCTTCTTTTCTATAGGCTTCCATCTCACCTCGAAATATTTACTCATTTCCTTGGCCATGACATGGACGTCATTTCCTGGTGGATTATATGTCATGGCATTTGTGAAAGTGAGTCTCACATCTGCGGCGAATTCTGAGATATCAGAATATGCACCAGATAATAACTTTGTCTTGACGGTACCCAAATCCATAGGATGCTTGATGACATTAAAGTAATCAGGAATTTTCAATTGCTCGGGATCAACAGGGGTATTAAAAACCCAACCATATTCTTGCTCCATCAACCGCTTAAGTAGTGTCTCACACTGTTTCATCAGCATGATGTTATTTGCATTTGAAGGTAAATTAGGCTTCACAGGACCTTTGGGTCGGGGCCTGTTTTTCGTTGATGGTTTATTCTTTGAGGGAAGATCAGCCACTAGCTTCACAGGTCTTTGAGGATTTTGCATCGGAGTTCCCTTCAATCCATTACTGTGTATGTCACTAGCTGGTGAAGGTGTGATGGGTTTCGAACTTATTGATGTGATTCTTCTCTGCCAACTCCTAACTTGTTCAAGATCATTTTTAAACTTTCTTTCCAAGTCTCTCCTATCTGAACGTGACATCTTAGACAAAGAAAAAACCTGAATAGGCACACCAAATCTATCATAACCATCCTGGCCATTTGAACTAATGGCCTTCCTCTTGGGAGCGTAAGAATTCTCAGATGCAGTCATTTCCACGTCCACCCTTCCCGAGCTCCCAAATCCTTCGGATTCTGCAATAGTCTCCACAGCATGACGGTAGTCTGGAACAAACCCAGACGAATATCCTTTAGAAACTTTCCTGGACTTGCCCATCATAGAGCCTAAACCCTTTTTCGAACACACAGTCAATTCCCTCTGTCCAGTGTACTCTATGGGAACAGTAGGTGCCATAAGAAAATCAACCCCCAAATTCTGCACATATCCAAAACTCTTCTATATTCAAGAAATCACATTTATTTCCCCCCCCCCCCCTTAATCAGAGAAATCACCTTAGAGAATTCGGTACCTATGATCTAGGCCCCTAAAAGTTCCAAAAATGAACCAAACCCACTACTTTATCGTTCTTACTCCAACCAATTGGCCCAAATTCAGGCGGCAAACAGCTAAATTGAAACTACAACTTCGTCAGAAAGCTTTCCCCTTTTATTCCTGTATCCCCGTCAAATTCAGCCCAAACATTAATCTTGCTCCTCTTTCTCAGAACAAAAAACAAGAATGCATTTTGAGATTCTTACAATCAGAAATTCACGCAATGAGGTAACGCCCAATTAATTAACCAAAAAAAAAAAAATCGGACTAACCCGAGAATCCTCGCACTCATTCAAAATAAAACCCTAATCCTAATCTTGAAAATTGAAAGGGGAAAAAAAAATCCATCTCGACAGCTGCGACCCCCGACCAAACTGAATCAAACTCCTCTAATCAAACCAAGATATGAACCAAACTAACCTAAAACCCTAATCAAATGCATCGAATTAAAGAAAATGAAAGCTTATCATTTCGGAAAAGGAATGAAAAGAATAAAAGTCGACAAATGTGGCGAAGAGGAGGACAAAAACCCTAACAAAGGACTCCCAAATTCGAATTAGTGGATCCAATGAGGACCCGTATCGGTTCGAACAGACCCGAAAACGAACCCTAAATGCGCGAAGAGAGTAGAGTCGAAAAAATGATTTGAAAAAAAAAAAAAACCCCCAAAAAAAAGAAGAGAGAGAAAGAAAGAGCGCTAGCGAAGAAGAGAGGGGAAGAGAGAGAAAGAGTACTTACGGAGTAGAGAGAGATAGAACTTTTGTGTGAGATGGCCGACTTCTATAGGCTAATTGGGCTCTGTATTTATAGGTCGGGTGGGGAACGCCGTATTTGGGCAAATCTTTACCGTTTATTTTTTTTAGATCCTATGGTTGATTCTTGAAGTTGACGTTTTAGATTTAGATCTGACGGCGGGGGTTTTATTGGGAAGCTTTTTGGGGTAGATCTGGTGAAAATATTATGGGAAAAAAAAGAAGTCAATCTCCATGTATTATTGTATGGAAAAATATATTGACAGATTTGGTTTTTTTTTTATTTCCTTTTTGAAACGAAGATATGTTAATAGAAACAAAGAAAAGATTTAAATCATATGGTTAAAAAATTAACTAAAATGATTTTATATGCTTATTATAATTTACCTCACACATTTTATGTACTTATTATTATATGAACTTTTTTTATCAAAACTCTTATGATCGGGCATAGTTTGTGTGTTTAGAAAATGAAAGAGAGACCAAGTTATTTATTAAGTTTTTCGGCACAAGAATTGTTACAATTTAAGTATAATTTGAGTAGATACTATTATGTTATTATTAAAATACAAATGAAAAATATAGGCCAACAACCAATTCTGCATATTATCACTCGTACTTTAAAAATTCCGATCCCTATTTTGTTTTAATTAGTTCACTTTACGAAGAAAATGGAGCAAGTGTAAGATATAATGATGATTAGCAAGTAAGAAATGGATTAAAAAAAAGGGAGTTACTAATTATTAGTTCATTAATATTGTAATAATGAATTAAAAAGTTCAATGTACTTAGATTACAAAAATAAGTTTGACAAGGGAACTGCTTGCCTGCTTGTGCTATGCGACAAATATAGAAGTGTAATTTTTTTTTAACATTAATTGTGTTTTTTATATATAACAAAAAAAAAGAGGAAGAATATATTGAAGGAGGCTTGCCACTTGTAAGTGTTATCTCAATTCATGTACCCAAAAGAATAAAAATCAGTTGATACTTATAAAAATGTCTACAGCCATTAAACTAAATACAAATCCAATATGGAAAAGAATTACTAATGTTACAATTGAATTGGAAAATTGTCTAATAAACTTGAAGGTAAACAGGAAATAGGAAGTGATGCAATAGTATGGGAAATTACTGACAAGCATGGCAATCTCATTCTGAGGCAATGAGGGCAGCAAAAGACTTCAACATCACAAGATGTGTGTTGCAGGCCCATGCGAGTTACGATGGAATCTGCAGGGATAGAAATAGAATTCATGCTATATGTATTGAAGGAGTTAGAAACATACTTTTAGACTTGAATAGTTCAATGCACTAGTCACGGATTTGTTTGGACTTTGGACTATCAATTTTAGTTTCATTTGTGTGATTTTATGGATTTGGATGGGACTAAGAATATGTATGGTTTTTGTCCATATATTTTATTAATTTATTTTAATATAATAATTAAACACCAAATTGAATCACCATCACCGATCAGCATTAATAATGTTTGTTTCGTTTTTTTTTAATGTGTGTTCTTAGGTGTTTTTTGTATTAAGAATATAAAAAAGTGAGGCTGTATCCAGTATACCCGGGGCACCGTGCCCCCCTCCTATTTTTTGCACGAGTAGTCCTTATTGTATTTTTCATCAATCTTTCTATATTTTACAAGTATAGTCCCTGTCATTTTTTTCTCTCTTTCAAAAAAAAAAATCTCTAATCTTTCAACGAGCATATCTCCCAATCCGTGAAGAATTTGTGAACGAATTATATATGAAATTTATAGTACTCGTCGAGATCTATCCAACAAAATTCATAATGAATATTTTTCGGGCTTAAAAATGACTTAATTCTGATGGACAGAATAGGGGTGGATATCCAGTTTTACAAGATGGATAACCAATTTGTTCTAAATTGGTTATCCATTGTGTTCATGCTGATTATCCAATCAGTTTGAACTGGTTATCCGTTTTGTTTCTACTGCTTATCCATTTGGTTATCCAACTTCTTAATTCAAAATAAGTTGGTTATCCATTGTCTTAAATTGGATATCCAATGTGTTCATATTGATTATCCAATGCGCTAATACTGGTTATCCAATGGATTTACATGCTTATCCAAATTATTTGTACTGGTTATCCACTGTATTCATGCTGATTATCCAACTTGTTTGTACTGGATATCCATCCATTTGGTTTGTATGCATATCCAATTCTAATCTTTCAACGAGCATATCTCTCAATCCGTGAAGAATTTGTGAACGAATTATATATGAAATTTATAGTACTCGTCGAGATCTATCCAACGAAATCCACAGTGAACATTTTTTCGGGCTTAAAAATGACTTAATTCTGATGGGCAGAATAGAGGTGGTTATCCATCTTCTTAAACTGGATATCCAATGTGTTCATATTGATTATCCAATGTCAAAAATATGATTGGATAACAAGTACGAACAGAATGGATAATCAGTCCAAACCGGTTGGATAATCAGCAGAAACACAACGGATAACCATTTTTCAAAAAAAACGAAAACACATTTCTTCATTTCTGCCCGTAAAATATAAATGCATTTAAAGTTTAAAAAAATATTCAACATGGATCTTATCGGATAGATCTCGTCAAGCACTATAAATTTCATATATAATTTGTGTTATAATTCTTTACGAATCAAAAGATACAAGGAACACAACAATATAAATGTAAAATAAGTTGGTTTTCCATCTGTTTAAACTGGTTATCCACTGTGTTCATGTTGAATATCCAACTTATTTGTGGTGGTTATCCAGTATTTTTTTTCCTTGCTCTTTCATGAAAATGATTGTCAAACTTGATTATTTCTGTTAATACTGTTAATACTGTTTATCCAACTAATTAGTATTATTTATCCAACCTGGTTTTTTTTTTAAAAAAAAAAAAAAATAATAAACTAAGTTAGTTATTCAGCTCGTTTGTATTGGTTATCCAATCATTGGTTTGTACTGGATTATCCAATGCGCTAATGCTGGTTATCTAATGAAATTACATGGTTATCCAAATTGTTTGAACTGGTTATCCACTGTGTTCATACTGGTTATCCAACTCGTGCATACTGGTTATCCAACGGATTTACATGGTTATCCAAATTGTTTGAACTGGTTATCCACTGTGTTCATTCTGATTATCCAACTTGTTTGTACTGGATATCTAACTTAATTCTGCCCAAAGAAATTTGATCATTTTTAAGTTGGAAAAAAATATTGGATATGGATCTTGTTGAATAGATCTCAACGAGTACTATAATTTTCATGCATAACACGTTATCTAATTCTTTACGGATTATGAGATATGGTCATTGAAAGATTTGAGATATTTTTTAAAGGAGAGAGAGAAAAAAATCACAGGGACTAAACTTACAAATCATAAAAAGATTGAGGAAAAATACAATAAGGACTCCTCGTGCAAAAAATAGGAGGGGGCACGGTGCCCTCGGGTATACTGGATAATTTGCCTAAAAAGGTTTAAAAGAAGTGTATTGGAAATGTAAAAAGGCATGCTGGAATGAGACAGATATTATTATATTATTCTGAAAAAACCATGAGAAAAAAGAAATAAACAGAAACGTCGACGTTGTAGAGGTAGTAGTGTCGCTCCAGAACCACCATCGTGCTAATGCCAATTAACATTCACGCAACCTAGGTAGAATAACAATTGGAAACCGTATATGATATATAATATAAATAAACGACAAGTACACAAAATTAATTAAAGTAATACTAATAAGAGTAAAATTATAAAAAGAGATATGTGTTATAATTATCTGATAATATGGATGTCCATAAATTAGCAGAGCTATACAAGAACTCTTTGTATAAAGATAATATATATTAGATCTTATCAACGATTAGATGTTATCTCTATTTGCTCTTATCTTTGTATATGCTATGCCTATAAAAGGAGACCAATCTCTGCAGAAATAATATAAAAATCATTCTCTTTTTCTCTCCCCTTATTGTTCTCTCTCCTTATTGTTCTCTCTCCCTACTTGTTCTTTCTCTCAGCTTTATAGTTTTATTCTTCAGTTTAGGTTTATAACACGTCATCAGCATGGATCTCTAGCCATGATTGAGAAGAGTCTCTAGCAATGAT